GGCCCAAGGGCAGGACCAGCACACACCAGGTACGCGGCGATGCCGGAGCCGATCAGGAAGCCCACGTAGACGTCGGCGGGGTGGCTCCGGTACTGGGTGATCTGGGTCAGGCCGCAGATACCGGCGGCGATGGCAAAGGCAAAGACCAGGATGGGCTTGAGGAGTTTGGTGCTGTCCGAGATGATGGAATTGAAATACATCTGGGGCAGGAACAGGCTGTTAGTGACGGCCCCGGCCCAGCCCTGGCCACACAGACAGTTCTTGGGTGCACTTGGGACTGCAGGTCCCGGCACACACACACCAGTGTGCACACGCATGTCCACGCACCCACACCCAGCACAGCACACGCGTGTCGGGCAGAGTTTAGCTGTGCCAGTGGGAGAGGGACGCTGCTGCCCACGGCACAGGGCTCATGCTGCCCCAAGCCAGGAACTCACCGACACGTAGACGGCAGCGAAAGCCGAGAGCGTCGCGTGCTGGGATGGGAAGGTCTTCCTGCAGGGAGAGGGGATGCGGTTGGGGTGGGGCAGAAGCAGGGGGACAGGGTTGGCATGGGGCAGGAGGGTTGGCAGCGTGGCATGGGGCTCCCCTGGAACATACCTGGCAGAGAGGATGGCGTGCTTGTCGGTGCCTGAGCAGATGTCCTGGGTGATGTAGGGGTTGGCATCGCAGGGGGTGCCCAGCAGTGTGTAGTTGGGCTTGCAGACGGTCAGGAAGAAGGGCGCGTGGTAGCCAGTGGCCAGCTGGATGACGTCTGTCACCAGGGCCGTGGCGCAGAGCCCAAACACATGGACACCTGGGGATGGCAGGAGTGGGACAGCAGGTCACCCCATCCCACATGGGGCGGGCCAGGGCCCACCCAGCCCTGGGGCACCCGCAGGCACTGGGAAGGGTCCAGGGTCTGGCTGGGCCCACGCTCCTCCTATGGCAGCCAGGGTGCCCCCCCATCCCCTCCAGCCCTCGGGTCCTGCCTGGGCTGTGGCACAACGTACCCACAAACCTGACGGTGCGGCGCAGGAAGGAGTTGAAGTTGCAGCCGCCGGCGTTGATGCTGCCCTCGGCACCGGCACGGCCCTTCAGCCGGGACTGCAGGCAGTACACCATGCCCTCCCCGACCATGATCTGGGGAGGAAACAGTGGCTCAGGCGGGACTGGGGGGTCTGGGTTGTTGGCGGGTGTCGGACACCGCCAGGCACCGGGACCCCCATCCCGGCTCTGTCCCGACCCTGCAGCCGGACGAGCCCCACGCACCGAGGCGGCGGGCGCGGCGAAGGCCAGGCTGAGCAGCATCAGCAGCGGGATGAGCTCCTCGTTGGTCTCCACGTAGGGCATGGACAGCGCCCGGTCGTGGCACTGGAAGCCCACCTTGGCCGGCTTGAAGAGGTCCGTCAGCTCCAGGAAATAGAGCGTCACGATGGAGGAGGCCACGATGGGCAGCTGTGGGGGGA